CAGGAGCAGGGATGGCAGATTCTGCTTCATGATTCCTGAGGGGCATTTTGCTCTTGTGAAAGCAAAAGGAACAGTTCTGTGCTTTGCACTCCTCCTCACACCCCTGTATCACACAGAACCACAGAGGTGAGGAAAGCAACACCACTGCTCAATTTCATCTGGCTCCTGGTGAGGCCTCAGATTTTAACTTTTATATTTTTCAGATTCTGTACTGCTTTAGTGTGTAGTTCTGAGCTTCATACTAGGGGATGGTGAGCTCTCTGCACAGAGCAGGGAGACAAAACAATTCCTTCTCCAGCTGGGCACCAAGGACAAACAATCCAAATCTCAGCCCAAGAACACAAACAACGTGGGCTGAAGAGAGAAAAACAAGGACGGGATTTCATGGGCTAAAGCTACAACTGGACAATTAACTCCAATATGCAAATGGAGCAGAACTTATAAAAGTGAGAGACCCCGTGACCAGTCGTGACCATTTTGGTTCACCTGGGGTGCAGCCCTGGCTGGGCTCTTGTGCTGTCCAAGGTGAATCCATTGAGGCCTCCTAATAAATCCCTACTTTATTCTTTAACTCTGTCTGGTCTCTGTTCTAGGCCAGCCTGCACAAGGCATCACTGGTTGGGCAGAAAAGGAAAACACACGAGTACTGGTGGCCTCTTCCTCTGCAAGGAAGGCAGAATCTCACACATAGGTTCTGCTCCTCTGGCTCCAAGGAAAGGAGTGAGTCTAAAGAGGAGCAGAGGAAGGCTCCTGATCAGGGACTCTCCACCAGGTAACCCTTCCTCACTCTGTGGTTGCTACTCCCACTATTGGTAGAGAAGGCTTGAAAATTCACCAACTTAACAAACACTTCAGCCTACTCTAATTTATAACCCCAAAACCTGCTCCTCTAAAAGAAAATTCATCTCTCCAGAGTTGGAGAAGAGGTGGAAAGAAGCTTTTTCTCTGCTTCTAGCAAATGAAGACAGTTTTTTTAACTCGGCATCATTTCTTCAATTAAAAGGGAAGTAGTATATAAATTGAGGTGTAATACAGTAATACAACAATTTATTGACCATAAATCAGGAAAAAAGTATAATTAGGTTACTGCAAAGGCAAGAGATTACTTTAGAACAACAGACAATCAGTGAAAATAGTACCATGTGGAGCAAAAGGACAAGATCAATGACTGCTTGCCCTTCTCAGGTGAGACAGAGAGGTAGGACTTGCACAGATCCTTAAGGGAGACCCATTTAAGACAACAGTTCTTGTCCCAGGCTACAGCACTTGGGTAACAGAAAAAAGCGCCAAGAAGTGAATAATTTTTACAAGAAATACATGGAGAATTAATCAAGTATTTGGAATTAAATCCTGTAAGGACAGTAAAATTTCTGAGATGGACAGAATTTGTTTTCTGTGTTCTTGAGCTCTGAACAAGAGTTTTACCCACTCAGCAATGAGAACATGACACGTTAATCTACTGAATATGAGCTGAGATGCTGACAAAATCCTCTCTTCTCTATTCTCAGCTCTGCCTAGAAAGTCAGTGGTCATATCTATACAACTTCACAGTAAGCTCTACAGCAGTACTGCAAACATTCTTTCTTTTTCTATAGCGTAATTATTTTAAAATACTCAATATATTTGATCTCTTTTTCCAGTCTAAAAAAAACCAGACTTGCCACGAGTTTCCTGTGGAGAAGATGGTTAGCACAGAATAGCACTCACTTGACAGCTTTAGGTTAGACACACACTGCTTGAACCCACAGCTCAACTTCAGTTACTGAAGGCAGGCTCGTGCAGATGGATGCAGCCAAAATGATCCAGGAATCACAGGGCACTCACTCCAATTCACTTTGGTCTAATATATGTGCTCCTAAGGTAAGGAAACTAGAGGAGTCCATTGCAAAGGTGTTCCATAGAGTCTATAAATTAAGTAGATGGCCCATTCAAAAGCTTTAAATGTGTGACTTTGCAGAAAAACAAACCTAACCTCCCTGTTAAGTAATACTGTAACTATTTCAGGCAAAGTTTTCCTTTTCCCACACTCACCATTTTTTGTTGTTTTTTTAAAGATTTAATTAGAAAGTAACACTTTAATTAGAAAATAATTTAATTATTTCACAACGCAGCCTTTTCATAAACACACAATTATGTTCATTTCATGAGAATTTATCTTCACTGTGAAATCAATCGTCACAGTCTCCATTTACTCTACATTACCAAGTCACATTTGATTCCTGTCAGAGAACTGTTGACTTCTGCAGTAAATCAAAATGACAGATACTGTTAGTTTCCTTCTCCATCTACCCCCCAGTCTCAGCTAACTCAAGATGGTTTTTCCTTCTATGCAGTGAAATGAGTATTTTCCTGGTAACTATATTTCAGAGCTGGAAAGGTTTTCATAAATGGAAAAAATGCAGTGCATAATCCAGGAAACTATTGAAATGTACAGTATCAGAAACATATGGCTGGAGCAAATACCTATGCAGTGAGGGGCTGGGAATGAAAAAGAGAACAAGCTTATTAAAATTCTTTTCCTAAAAAGTTTTTGCTTGAAAATTAAAATAATTTAATTGAACATTAAGAAAGATTTCATAGTCAAGGAAAAACATGCTGCAGATTATGGGGGGAGGGAAAAAGAGATACAGAATAATCTCCGTGCTATTATGGAAGCTGGAACAGATGATTTTGCCTTTGTTCTTAATGATCTACATCTTAAATAGCAAAATGGTTCCATAACCAGAACCCTCAGTGGGCAGACTTCGAAAGCTGATTTCTTTCTCAGTTGCTAAGGTTTTTTTAATTAAAAAAGCAACCACTCCACCACCCCCCAACAACAACAACAACAACAAGCCAGTCTGAAACGAAGTTAATTTTTTACACAATCCTTGAAAAGCAAGACATACTCACACACACAGAGATCAGAAACCAGGATTCAACAAATTACCACAAAGTAAAACAACAATAAGAATTCTTATTTCAATGTCTCTTTATCAATTCCCTCCTTCAGTTTCCTTAAGAATGTGGGATAGGGGACAGCCCCAGCCAGATCACTCTACTCAAGAACCAATATTCCTATTTTTGCTGACACATCCAGCAATTTAGAATTCAGTGGAAAGCGATACTAATCTTGTTTTGATCAATTTGTGCCAGGAGGCAGATTTTTAGAAATATCAAAAATCAGCTGTTTTACAGTAACAGAGAAATTGCTGTTTTAATTAGAATTCAATAAATATTTCTTCAAAAACAACTTCTGCCTCCCTTAAAGCTGCAAGACTGACTCCATGATCTGCCTCTGCCAAGGCAAAGGTATTTTGTGGTCTTACTGCTGTGCTGTCATGTCTTAACATGCCCATGTGGATGTAAGGATGTTTTTAGAGCAGCTTGCAGAGGCTGCAGGATCTACTCAGAGCCCAGAGAGGCAGGGCTATTGCAGACATGGCAAACATTTTAGACATCTGATTTTGAAATCCTTGATGTCTAGTATGGATGAAGATGAAGGGAAAATGTGAATGTCCAGCTATATACCACCTTAATAAATCCCAAACTTGCCAATGGAAATGCTTCTCTTGGATTTTCACAGCAGTTCAATGATTAATATTTATGATGATGATAATATTCAAATCCATTAGTTGAACCAAAGGAGAAACATTGAGTTAAATTAACAAATTCCTCATGGAAGTAATCTAATATGTCCAGCTCCTATCAAGCCACCAGGACAAAGTTACCTTTCTTGATGGATCCACACATATCTACAGCCAGAATCATCAGAATTACACTCATTTCCAGCATCCAAAGATCATTTATGTATTTAAGAACATGAAAAGCTTTTCAAAGCTTTTTTCTGTGCTCCAGAAACACAAGTGGTCAAGCATTTGAAATGTTATTCCCAGCTAGTATGTGTGTGACATGCTTTCAAAGGGCATCTCCTGGCAGGCCTTGCAGGCTGGCTGAGGTGGCAGCAGACACAGGCAGAGCCTTCCTGGGCTGCTTCAGACTGAGACTGACATTGTGTCCTCACATTCCTGGGGTCAGCAGAAACCTGACAGCCCAGAAATCCCGTGCTTTGCTTTTGCTTTGCAGGAGGGAGGGACACTCCTTGCTTCTAAAATTCTGGCCGCAATGTCTGGCCGGATTGGGAGCAGAGACAGCTGCCTCTGCAGAGAGCCACATCCAGCCCTCATCATTTTGAGGATCTGAAGGTAATGCCAAGCTTTAGTGATGTGAGGGAGAATTAGGTGTGAAGGAATTTAGCAGAAGAGGGAAGCAAGGATATCTACATTTGCCTGAAAAAAAACTTACAGAAATTGCTCCTTATCTGCTAAAATGCAATTCCCCTGAGACAGCTGCAACTGCAACTCTCCTCATCAGTTAAAAAAAATTTAAATTACACATCACTTTTATGTCTTTTGTAACATTTAAGGAAACTGAGCTGGCTGTGCATCAAGAGTAGCTTCTGTAGAGCACCCGCCCCACTTTTAACAGAGAAGAGTCTGAGAGGGAAAGTGTGGGGCAAAAACTAAAAGGCAAAGATTTTATTAATTAAAGAAATAGAGGAATCTATTTTTTCTCCATTCAGCAGTGTTTAAACACAAACAAACAATCAAATGAGTCCCAAGATTAGTGACAGGCAAGATTTTCCACTGGAGAAAGTGAAAAGCAATGACACTTTTGTGATTTACACCAGTTGAATCTGGTCACAAGGTACAGAAGTCATGAATGTTTTGGTAAGCCTAGGTGACTGCCAAATAAAACAAAAATAGGATCAGGAGATGATTATTCAGCCATAAGGAAGGACTGGCTGACTCATCATGGAGCTGTTTCACTCCACGAGTGGCTCGGAGGACACCAACCTCTCATCCCATGGTTATGCAACAGCCAAGCAGCAGATAAATCAAGAATATCAAGACCTTGTGTACTCAACATGGTGGAAACAGCAGAACTGCACTCACAGTTATTAAAATGCTCAGCCAGATACTATTTGAAAGATGTATCTGCAGAATAGCACATTTTCTTACCTCTGCTCTGTGTTAAACAATGCAAAGATGTGTTTGCTGGACATGAAGCTCTTTTCAACATCTCGCACTTTCAAGTTGTCCAAAGGCAGCATGTACTTCTTCTCTTTTTCCTAGAAAAAAACCCCCAAAAACTATTAAAACAACACTGTGTGAAAGAAGCCTGATGTCAGCAAGATCTGTTGAATTGGTAATGACCTTGGAACATTTGTTATCATAAGGAAATACCCAAATTTAAATGTCTGCTTATCTTTCATAGACCTACCTGCAAGAGAAATGAAACCTCAGTTTCAGTTCTGTTTTTCACTGACCCTTTTAAAACATTTCCTAATAAAAAAAGTTCACCTCAAACACATAAACATAACATTTGTTATTTTTCATTCCTCTGAATTCTAAAAAGGCAAGGGTCAGACTTCACTAAAATAAAAGTGTCTGATCAAAAAAACCCTCTTCCATGTCTGCACAGCAAGAAAAGTAACTGGTGACATAAGTTCATCTCTACTTTGCTGCTATTATTAATTATTTAAGCATGGCATTCAATAAACCCACACATAAACTTTCATTCTGCCAGTGAAAAATACAAAACCCATACAAATCAATCAAAGTAATACTATATACAAACAAAATCAGACCCTAATCTAACCAGCTTATTTCTGCAAATAGGAATGAGTTATTCACTCTTGCTGTAGCCAATTCCTTTGCAATTTCATCACAACGCTCATTTACAGCACAATCACTGCAATTTCACCTTTTTCAGGTTTCTTCCTTCACTTCCAATTAAGAACTAGCAATACTCCCAAGGTAATTTCTTATGTCAGAACAAAAAGAACCCTGAGATTATTAGCTGTTTTCATTGTGTTAAACTTCTTCAAGTGTTTGCACTTCTGGAAAAACTGAAGCTAACCTCTCCAGTTTGCTTTGCAAGCACACCTGATGTTAAACAGAAGGATCCAAAGACAAGAGGCGATCCTCAAAGCTCTCATTCTGGGCTTGCACATCACCACAGCACTGCTCACAGGGTTACTCACAGCACAGTTTAACAGCTTCTAAAAGGCATCAAGGTACTGTTAAGGCTGGTGCCACTAGGGCAGCAATGGAGTGCAGAGAGGCTTTATGCCCTGGAATTCCAGTGGATGCTAAATGGGGCTTTCATGACTTTGCCTACCCAATGATCCTACAGAACTTCAATAAATCACCAAAGTTAGAGAGCTTAGATTCCTTCACAGTCCCTTATCAGGCAGCATGAAGCAAGGCTGGCTGGCCTCTGCCCAGCCACCACCAGAGCCAGCTCTGAAGTCCAGCACCACTGCACTTCCTGAAGTATTCTGGGCTGGAACATCACTCATGGGGGTTGGCTCGGGAAGAAATATGCATGGGACAACAGTTTATTGTATGCCAGGAAACAGGACAAAGGGACAAACCAAACTAGGACTCAGTCTTCTCTGTGAGTGTTTACCAGAATACACCAAGCAACTTGCAGTGCACAGAAATGGAAGATGTCCTGGCTGGGCTGAACATGTGTTCTGAGAGGGCAGATGCAATTCATCTTGGCTGAGCTTCAGCAGATTGCAAAACTCAGCTGGATGAGAAAGGCCCTCAGAGTGAAACTATAAAAATACCATGACATGGCCAACAAAGGCTCACTTTCCTAGACAGACTCCTAGCAGGCCTCAGGAGAGGAAAAAGCAGATTTCAAAAGCCCTTCTGGAAAAGCAGTTTCTCTTGTTGTTGAATACAAAGGTTATCAATTTCTGTGTATCCCATAAAAAGCATCTGATGGATGTTGAAACTGCCTCTATCTTAACCACCCAAGAAATTACTCCTCACAAAAGAAGATACATAGGTATATTCTTCACTCCCCCACCTAACACCTGCTCCCATGGAGGAGTCCAGCTCTGTGCCACTCTGCAGCTGTTTATCACAGCCCAGGCCTACATTCTGCTTCCAGAATCTCTGTGGTCTGAAGCCCTGGGGCTCTCCCAGCAGAACTGTGTGCTACCACCCACTCAGTGAGAATCACCACTGAGACAAATAAAACTAAGCCTTTAAAATTCATAATTTATCAATTTTAAAAATTATAAACAACACTAAATGAAGACTTTATAAATATGTATATATGCAAATTAGAAGTACCTATCCTCTAATACTGATTTGTATTGATATGATCTCTTTTGCTACTATAAATTTATAATGTCCTAACTAGTATAGTAAATAAAAGGATAACAATGTATTATCTCTGCTGCCAGGACAAAGGGACACACACTTGAAAAATACTGTAGCATATATTAAACCTTGTATCAAAAGCAAATATTATCTTTTTCAGCTGAAAGCTGGACTGCAAGGCAATGTAAGGTACTTTGTATTCTATGTCAAAAACTTAAGGCAGGTTATATATATATAGCTATATAGCTATATAGCTATATAGATATATAGATATATATTTGTATATATAAAAAATCTTTTGGGCAGAAATATTCCATTTGGGCAGATATATTCCCCAGAGCTAAGGAAAAAGCTCCAAGATGTTCAATTTTTTTTCTTTAAAACTTATCTTTCAGTATTACAGAAGAGACTTACCATGATTTACTATTCAATTACTGAAAATGTAAGAAGTTTCTGATGAAATGTTTCTTCTGATAGACACTATTTACTGACAAATCAAGCAACCACAGATGAATAAAAATAGAAACTGATGAAAAAACTATACCAAGAATCTGATTGTCTAAACAAAAATTCTACAAGAGGGACAGTTATATAAATGTTTGATGCCAAACTGTGAGAAAGTGTTTCTTCTGCACCACCAGGAAAAAGGAAATGCCTACAGAAGTCTAAGAAGTGGTTGGTATTTATTTACATGGCCTCCTACCCACATGCTGAGACAGGGCAGTTTCCAAGAAAGGGAAATCACAGGGTGCCTGTGATTGAGGCAAACAGAGTCACACAGGAGAGATCAGAGCTAAATACTGCTTAATTCCAGGAGAAAGGTGTTACTGTGACATTAAAGTGTGGCAGCAAAACCCATTGCAATTTTATTTTCCCTCCAAAGTGGGAGAGAATATACAGAAATGGAGCATGAGCTAATTGAACAGCAGATGAGCCCAACATTTCACCCTAAGCTCAATTAATATTATGTTATGGTAGGGCAAAAAAAACTCCAGCCAGGACTGTTTGTGCATGTTTCCCAGCCTGAGAAGCTGAAGCATAAGAAACAGGGAATGCATGAAGCCTGGGAGGAATGGGGCTAGGCACACTTTGACGAGTGACTACATGCACATAACTGTGGGTCCAGTTTGTCCCCCTCAGCATTTGTTCTTTTTTATTTATAGATTTTTATTTTTATAAAGGGGCAGAGAACTTCAACGTGACATGAGGGGAAAAACCAGCACATGCTGATCTCACGTAGAGACTTCGCCTCTCTTTTTCCAGAGTAGAGGAGAAGAAGGAAAAAGTGGGAGGTAGAATGGCCCATTCCTGTCCCTGGGACATGAAAAAAATTCCCCATACTCCACCTTAGAAAAACAAATGAACCTGCTGGCCTGGGGAGGCCTTCCCACCCTGGAGACGATGTTTCACCACTCGTGGGCATAAGTAGCACTCACATCCTTAATGGACCAGTTCTGTTCTCTGACAGGCAAGGGAGCTGCCAGGAACTGACAGCATGATGTAAATATGCCATATTACAACTGCCCCTTCCTTCTGCACTGTTTAAATGTACTAAAAATAAATACTGCTCAAGTCCAAAATGGCACAAGGGATACAAAAAATACAACAGCAGCTCCCCTTCCCCCAGCAGGGTCTCAGCCAGCACTTCCAGGCTAATGAACTCCACTGCATTTTCAGCCAGGGGCAGGAACTGCTTCAGAAAGCGTTCTGTGCTTTTGGAACTTTCAGGCTCAGTCAAAACAGCAAAAGAAACCTTGGACACAACATCAGCAAAACGGATAAGAGGAACAGAACTCCCTTGCTTCAAAGATAGAGATTGTTTAATGACTTCAGCTTCTTCCAGCTATCAAAGTATAGTATTCTTCTGTCACTTCAGGCTGGCTAAGGCACAGCAGCAGCAGCAGCACAGGTTCTTTTCCACAAGGAACAGAATTCAAGTTTATGCAGCACACCTCAAGCACACGATGTTCAGGTTCTGAAATGCAGGACTGAGCCAAGCATTGGCCCAATTGCACTTTCAGCTGCATCAAGAGACTTGAGCTGGTTTGCTCACCAATTACCAATGTCTTATAGAACACCAGCTTTGAAATGGAGGGTCATGACACTAACCAAAACCTGTCTATATGGGGACCCCAAGTTCAAAGAAATCAAGCTCCCAGTTGGAACAAAGGCTGGTTTACAGCAGGATTCATTCTCTGCATCAGCTGAGAGCACAAATCTCAGGAGAATTTACTGTGCATTGAAAGCAAATGTAGATATACACAAAATGCCTCTGCCATTAGGATGAGGCATTAACAAGTATGAGGCATTGATTAGGCAAAAGAGTGAACTGCTTTAAAATCATAAACTGAGGAAGAAGAGCTTTGAAATAAAGCTGGGTAACAGCAGATAAAAAACTTAGCATTTCTGCCTCTGGACTAGGTTTTCAGACCGACACTGTACTGCTCTCTGCATTTGTTCTGCATTCATACTCAGGGATAATGCCTACCTGACTCAGGCATCGTGCTCAACCTTGTTTCTGCCAGAGCCAGTGATGGCAGGGCATCATTAAATATCCTGCAATCAGGGCTCTAAAATGTATAGATGGAACATCCAAGTCAAGCAACTACCTGGCAAAGCAGTTAAGCAGCAGAGGCAGAACAGTCCCAAAGCAAAGCTACTGTACAGTACTGTATTATTTTATATGGCCAGAGCAGTGTCCAATTCTACAGAGACACAAGAAGCAGTGCCTTGTGAACCTGATGAGCCAGAGTGATCCTTATTAATGAAAGGAGAAGAGAAAGAATAGAAATGTAAGGAACTGCTGGTGGTCTGTGCCTGTTTACTCCCAAAAAGGAAAGGCTCAGCCTTGTTTACACCTCAGAGCTCTGGCTGCCAGTGCCAACAGCCTACACTGTGGCATATGATGAAAGTGAAAACTATTAAGATGCCTCATAGCAACCTTTATAGT